AGAAGGATGCTATAATGTTACGGAGGGACATTACAATGTTACAGAGGATGCTACACTGTTACAGAAGGATGCTACAATGTTACAAAAGGACATTTTAATGTTACAAAAGGATGCTACAATGTTACAGAAGGATGTTGTAATGTTGCAAAAGGATATTACAATGGGAGATTGCTAGACCTGGGTTTCCAGGTTGGAGGAAATGCACCATGGATAACTTACAAGGTGGATTAACAAATGAAAAGTATGTTGCAGATCTTAGTGTGGGGTAGAACTATTTCCATACTCTCTTGTGTGGCCCAGGGTTTGTTTCTGTGGCCTTGGGATAGTTAAGGTAAAGTAACTGTCTTAAAAAGCCACTGTCCTGTGTGGCAGGGCTCAAGATCTCGGCGGCGGCCTAAGACTCTCCTTGCTCAACCTCAGAAGATGGCTTTGAGCCATGTCATACCCATGCCAAGAATGACTCATCTAGTGCCCAGGAAAAACACAATTCATTTAAACACTGTCCCTATGTGTCTCTACCCAATAGAAAGGCCACTGTACTGCCAACCAATTCTCTGAGGTAAGACACCACCTTTACCCACCCCTTCATTTAACAAAGATCCACTCCCAATTACCATGTTTTGAGAGACAGGGAAGGTACAGGGTGGAGAAGAGGGTTGCAGAGGAGAAATGACAACACAGGCTGCCCTTAATGCTCTAAGAAGGAGGTAACTGTAAGGTGTAATGTAAAGTCTAGTTCCATTCTGGGCCAGGCTCCCCATGGCAGGATGGGATGGGAGAGAACAGGTTGCAGATGACTGTAGGTAGAGTTTTCCTGTCCCGACCACCCGCTGGCTCCCAAATAACCAACATGGAGTAATAATATTATTTAGAAATGTTCAGTCAATAGCTCAGGCTTACTACTAATTAGCTCTTACAACTTAAATTAACCCATTTCTATCCATCTATGTGCTGCCCCAAGACTCATGGCATTTACTTCTCCAGCATGTCTTGCTTACGCTCTGTCTGTCTGGCAATTCCTCTGACTCTTCCCCTCTTCTTCCCATCATTCTCAGTTTGGCTCTCCTGCCTAACTTTATTCTGTTCAGCTATTGGCCAGTCAGTTTCTTTATTAAGCCAATCACAGTGACAAATCTTCACAGTGTACAAAAAGGATAATTCCATAGCAGATGACCAGAGATGGAGAGGCCCAATCATCCACCAAGAAAACAGCCTTAGCCACCAGTGCCTCAACTGGCCTCCTTCTCCTCATAAGGAATGACAGCAAATAGGAAAAATTACTTGAATTTGCAGGCTTTTGTCCTGGCCCAGTGAAGTCTCAGAGAAGTCCCCCTCAAATTACTGGAAACTGCACTTTGAACTCAGGCTTTGGCAAGGAGCCTGGTCAAACAGAAATGTAGAAGCTCCCTTCCTCTGAGGCCATTGCACAAGGGTGTCCCACAGACGGGCCAGGGCTAATGGCAACAGGCTGGAATGAGGCCACATAAGACAGAAAAGCAAGGCATAAGAGCGTCATTCCCTACTGCCTCTGCTATTTATTTGTTTTTTTTATTTTATTGGCTTCTTCTCCCTCATTTTGTTGGACTGGGTGATAGACTCAGGTCCATCTCATCAAGATAAACTCTGCCACCATTTGCACAAAATACACATATGGTCCTGAACACAACTCCATGCCTCACACCATTAAGTGTCCAGTGTTTGGGGGACACCAGTAGCAAGGACAGGGATGTCCCAGGCCAGTTGCTAAGCAAACTCCTAGAGCTCCCAGAAACCAGGAAGACGAGCTCTGAACTCTGCCCCCCCCCCCGACAGAATATAAAGTTTGTCTGCCCACCAGACTCCCCCACCTGCTGTTAAAATAAATCAACAACAATGACCATAAGTCGGTCACAAAGACCAGCACAGAACGGTCAGCCTTAGCAAAACAGGACCCAAACCTGTTCCTGTTTCTTCAGAAGAAGCAATCAGATTCTGCTGTTAGTTTCTCACCAAGACCATACAATTCAGACAAGTGAATCAGCCAAGGTATTACAAACCTAGGAGGCCAAAGCCAGGAGGCTAAGGCTAAGGGTTAGACAGCTGGAACAATAGGGCTCCTTCCAGCTGCAGGGCAGGCTCCAGAGAGAAAGCAACTGCCTCAGGGGCCCCAAGTCATTAACCTGTGACTGGAGTGGAAGATGCAAGAGGGGGAGAGAAGCTGACTGTTCCAAGTCTTTTCTGTCAGACCAAGCATTCCTTCAAGACTGACCAGAAACCCAGCAAGATCTTGACAGCGGTGGCCTCACTCCGCAGCCTACTGTGATGGTAACGGCTCTCTCGGAACACCTTCCTGCTGTATGTTTGCAAGGCTTCATATACAAAGTGTGACCAGGGACATGATCGCTTCTGATAACTTTATGAAGGAAAATATCCAGTGTGTGTTTTTTTAAACCCCATGTTTTCCCTGGGGACACAATGTTTTGTAGAACTGCTCTTTCCATCCCTCAGTCCACAGCTTCCACTCCCCCCGCCAACCCACTCCCTGACCCGCAACGCACCCAGTTCTCTCATAATTAGCCGTCAATGAGCCGCACACCATTTGTATGTGTCTGTGCTAACGGGGTAGAGGAAGCCTACGTGTGCATGAGTGTGAAGGCCACAGGTCAGCCCTGAGTGCCGGCATTCTTCAGGAGCCCTCCACGTTGTTTTTGCTGATACATGGTCTCGCACTGGGCTGGGGCTCACCAATTCAGCTAGGCTGGCTGAAAGGGATCCTCCTTACTCTACCTCCTCAACACTGAGATTACTTATGCTGGAAGAAGGGTTAAGGCTGCCTCTTTCTACTGCAATGCCACGAGGCTTGAGGGTCCTAAGGGTCATGGCAAAGTGATATTCTTGAAAATGTGTTCCCCTTCCCCCTTTCCTTTCCCTTCCCTCCATTCCTCCTTCCCCTGCCTAATTCAGCTCCTGTCTATCAGCCTATGTGGTGGCAGGAAGCCCAATTAAAGCACAGTAAGCACCAACTTATGAAACCTCAAAATACATGTGACCGGTTACAACTACTACAAACATTAGGGTATTTTTTTAAATAATCACTTGTGGCAGCCACGTCCGCCAGCAGAAGAGACGACCACAACAGGATTCTTCTTAGAACATTCTTTACTGGGAGCGCACAACTTGAGGATGATGGTGAAGAACCCCGGACCCTGGCGCCTGAGACGTGGCCATGTCTTAATGGGTCTGGCCGCTCCTGATCTTACACGTGTCAGCTCACGATTGGCGGCTGGATCGCGCCATTCGGGAAGGCACGCCAAGCACCTCGGGGCGGGGCCGAAGCTGCTTGAGAGGCAGGAAATGACGGCAGGGTTGTGGCACCTTGGTGCCCTACAATCACTGTCTTATTTAATATTTATTTATTTATTATATGTACAGTATTCTGCTTGCATATATTCCTATAGGTCAGAAGAAGGTGTCTTATTTCATTATAGTTGGTTGTGAACCACCACGTGGTTTCTGGGAATTGAACTCAGGTCCTCTGAAAGAGGAGCTAGTGCTCTTAACCTCTGAGCCATCTCCCCAGCCCCGACATTAGGATATTTCCAGTATTCACTTGGAAATGTCCGCACCAACAGCTCTGAACACCAGGTCCAGTGCAGCCCACCAGACCCAGCAAGCATCTGACTCCTGATTCGTGACCTTTGCTTTGGTGGTAGTAGGGGGATGTTTATTTGTTTTATGTGAGTTTGTTTTGGGGGTTTTGTTGTTGTTGCTGTTGTTGTTGTTGTTGTTGTTGTTGTTGTTTGAAATTGGGTTTATCTGTGTAGCCTTGGCTGTTGAGGAACTCACTCTGTCTCTAGACCAGGCTGGCTTCTATTGCAGAGATCCACCTGCCTCGCTTCCCTTCCAAGGGCTGGGATTAGAGGCATGGCATACAAATGTGAAATAATGGCATCACCTTTTTTCTCCCTTTGGCACTATTCCCAGTTTCTCAGCTCAACTGCAGAACCTTGTCAAGTTCTTCTCGTCTGTCCATGGTCCCACAGTCCCGGTCCTCACTCCCTCCATCGAGCCTCCAGTGTCTCATTCATTGTCACCAAATAAATGAATCCAGGCCAGAGTCTTAACGACCACCCTAACACAGAGACCCTCACTACCTCTCAATATCCAGAATTCTCTCTGTAGACCAAGTTGACCTCAAACTCACTGAGATCCACCTCCCTCTGCCTCCTGAGTGCCGGGATTAAAGGCATGCGCCATCACCGCCCGGCTATCTTTATTAGCTGTAGCTTCGGGTAAACCAAAACTCTGCCCTCAAAAATCATTAATGGCTCTCAAATTCTAATAAAACAATGCCCCCTTGATTTGAAGAGCTGTGGCAGCCCAGTATCTGGAGCCAATCCTCATTTCCAGGTTTCTTCCTCTCTTCATTCATCCTTCCTAGGAGCAGGGCCATCACTGAGAACAATCGCCAGTTCCTGGAGCTAGGCAGGAAGCCGCGCTGGCTTTTCCATGTCCCAGGCATTCTCGCTATAGCAATAGGTTTGTCATGCATCCTCCCCTTTGGATTCCAAACTAATATCTTGCACACAAGTCTCAAGAACCCCAAGCAACAAAAACAAAGCAAAAGAATACAATAAAATGCAAGGGCTGCCGATTTCAAAGCCACGTTTTTTAGTTTGTTTCCTTTACGGCGAGGAAGCCGAGGCTCACAGGGGTGGCTGTGGCTGGACTGAGGCTGGTGGGCAGCAGGCCCCTCTAGTGTCTGTTGCTTTCACCAATTTACCGCGTGATCAGAGATGCTCAGTGAATGCAGAATGAAGCCCTTCAGCGCCAGGTACTGAACTGTCAGTTAAGAGCAGAGGTATGGAGCTTAAGCTGCAAGTGTCCAGGAGGTCTCAGTCCCCACCGACTAGGCTGGTTAAAGACACATGAAGAGGGGGCTGGAGAGATGGCTCAGTGGTTAAGAGCATTGCCTGCTCTTCCAAAGGTCCTGAGTTCAATTCCCAGGAACCACATGGTGGCTCACAACCACCTGTAATAAGGTCTGGTGTCCTCTTCTGGCCTGCAGGCATACATGCAAACAGAATATTGTACACATAATAAATAAATAAATATTTTTTTAAAAAAGACACATAAAGAACCCTGGGGTTGATTTTTGAACATCAGAACATTGTCCATTCATCTCTATGCCCAAAGAAACCGCTGTCATTAGCCCCGCATCCAGAGATATAAGATTATATACCAGGTCAAAGGATATGCCTCCCCGTGATAGTCATATTGGCTTGGGTTCCACACTATTAAAAAGTATCAAAATGTTGGCTTACTTGTGAAACCACATCCTGTTCTTTAGCAATGGTTCAGGAGCTGAATGACCAGATGTGGCAAGTTGATCGGAAGATGTCCGGACAGTAGAGCAGCCTTAGGGTGTCAGTAAGACACAGACCGTACGTGACTGTCTCTCAGGTAAATGGCTGCATTGGGTCACTGACGTCAGAGGAAGGGATTTAGGAGATCATCTGGTGAAGGTTGGCTTTGAAGATTTCACAGCTTTGAGCGAGGTCTCTACTTTCCACCTCCAAAATAAAACCACAGAGGGCAGGACAAGGTCAACCGCTGCCTAAGAAGAAATTCACTGGGGGTGCGGTTCAGCACAGCCAGAGCAGAAGCAGAGAAGTAGGGGCGGGGCTAGGGACGCGGTGACTAAAGAAAGTTCTGCCAGGCCAGCTCAGAAGGTGGAGGCAGGAGGAGCAAAGTTGAAGGTTGACCTCAGAAACATAGTAAGTTCAAGCCCAGCCCAAGTATCAGACCCTGTCTCAAAAAGAAAAAGTGAAACACGGGGGTGGGGGTGGGGGTGTGTGTGTGTTCTGGACCATGACCCCAGGTTAAGGTCTCTGCTATCCAGAGGGAACTAGTACAAACCAGCGTGGGCAGAAGCAGGCCCAATGACTGACATTTGTGCCTGCCACAATCTACTACCCACACTGAGGGCTCCAGCAAAGGACCTCTCAAAATGCCTGTAAAGTGGAGGTGATGACCGAATACCTACTTGACAGGGTGTCAAGAGGAATAAAAGAGGGTCCCACACTGTGCTGGCACTGGGGAGCGCTCACAGAATGGAATGCCTGTCCATAGTTCATACGCCCCTCCCCAACCCTTAGCTAATCCATAAACACTGTGAGAGGAGCCGGTGCCAGCCTTCTCCCAAGTACTCAGAGGGAACACGGAACACCGGATGCTTTAGGTGTTGACTGTTGGACATTGGGGCAGTTGAGCTGTTAGGTCACCTGTGACAACATGGGCCGACCGTCAGAGAAACCTCTGGAGTCCTTTACTTGGGGAAGAAAAAGCAGTAAGACCTTGAGCCTTTTAAAGGAAATCAAAGTGTCCCTTACTGCCCCCCATTCGGTAGATGGAAGATGCGCGTTCGGGGCAGGCAGAGCTGACTTGCAAAGCTGGGCCACTGTGTCCGCGCTGGGGTCCTGCGGTTCAGCTCCGTGAAGCCGAAATGCCAGTCCAGCCTTTGTTTTGTCCCGATCTGAGCAGCCGTGGGGCGGTGCAGACTGAGTTTGCAAAACGCAGGCTCCCACCAAGGTGGCGGGGCTCACCTGTCCCTGCTGGAGCAAGGTGAGCCCCTGCCAACGAGATCACGTGGCCTCCCAGTCCTCCTCAAGTTACCTGGAATGTCTAGGCGGAGGCCAGAAAGACCCGGAGCTGCGCGCGCAGGTGGTTTGCCCCAGTTAGTCTTGTTTGTCTTGAAACGGAGTACGTGTATGTTGGGGGTGCATTCAATCCCCTCTTTGGGGAAGGAGAGAGAGGTTGCAAATATACCCGAAGTGCATACCTAAATCTGCAGTGGCTGGGGACTGAAGTCTTGGCACCCATCCCCACTGTTGTGGCCAGATCAGAAGGGTCATTGTGTGAGCCATGGCGACTGAGCCTGGCTGTATAATAGGCGCATTATGAAGCTATGCACCTGGCTCCCGCGGAGCCTGGGAGTGAAACGCTGCTTGCAGAAAGCCGAGAGGAGGCCTTCCGTTGTGTCAAAAGAAGGCTGTACAGGATATCTAATTCCAGTCATTGTGTGGGGGGCATCACAGAGCCCCCGAGAAGCCAAAGGGTGCCTGCCAGTCACTTCCCAGCCTCTGGGACTTCTCAGTGTCCCACAGGACTTTAAAACAAAGGGGAAACAGTTTCACTGTGGCCTGTATCAAAGAAATTGGACACGAACAGGTTTAGTTCAGAATCTAAGACCAGAAAGGAGGCAAAAAGTGCTGGAAGCGTTTCCCCTCGGAGGGGGTGGGGGGAAGGGGTGCATGCAGGCACCTCCAAAATTAACCTAACTGGAAAAGGAAGAAAAGTCAGATAATACCCTTTCTGCCATCCCCTAATACCTTAAGGAGTTCAAAGGTTTTCCAAGCCTGGGGCGTCGGCGGTTATAATTACACAGTAAAATACCTAAGGTTAATGAGTAACCTCCAAAGGAAGTTACTGCACATAATGACGGCAATTTCTCTGAACTAAATGTTAAAAATACGGCCTGTAATACTATGTGAAGGAAATGGTGGCAATTGGCAAATGGAACCCTGTTGCTAGGTAACAGAACCTGAGCTATGAGCTTTCTTTCCTCTCTACCTGCCCGAAAGGGGTGGGTGGGAAGAACTAGGTTCCCGCCTGCAGTCTGAGAAGCAAGCCGGCTTCCGCAGACACTGATGGCCAACCCAGAAAAGGGAAGCAGATGTGGCTAGACCAGGAAGAATTCCCCAAGAATCCCTTAGCGGTCGAGGAAGTCGGGAACAATCTGGAAGTGAATGGGGGTAGGGAAGCAAGTTCAAATGAGTACTCCACAAGCCGAACCCTTCAGACACACCTTAACCCTCCCACCATCCCCACCACCGCTAAATCTCCCCTGCCTTTTGGCTTCTGCCTGTTTTAACACTTTGAACCTGGCAATGAAGAGCTGAATCAGGAAAGAACTCCAGAGGAGACAACAAGCAGTGTTCCTTGCAGAAGAAAATTGGCCCACATTCTCACTCCCCAGTTCTGACGGAAAAGTCTAAGAGAAAATCCTGGAGACAACTCCAGGTTGATCAAGCATCAACCAGAAATGGTCTACAAAGTCATTATTATTTTAAAGTACCTTGGGATTGGGTGAGAGGCGGAGGTGGAGGTGGTTGTTTAAAATCTCTGTTGTTCTCCAGGCATAGTGGCCATCTCTGTGGGTTCGAGGCCAGCCTGTTCTACCAAGAGAGTTCCAGGATAGCAGGGGCTGTTCCACAGAGAAATCCTGTCTCAAAAATCCAAATAAAATAAAATCCCTAATGTTCTTTGGCTGGGGTTGGCTGATGTGCCCCAGTTTTACCAAGGTAATCTGTGTTCATGTGCCCCAGTTTTACCAAGGTAATCCGTGTTACTTTGGTAGCCTTTGTAAAAGGGCAGGTTCCTGGGCTAGGAGCAGAAATGCATCATGGTACAACTCCTGCCCAGCCTGCCTGAGGCTCTGGGTTCAGTCCCCAGCACTGTTTCCAAATGCAGATTTCTGGGGCTCTACTCCTGCATATTTATAAAGGGGATCTAGAGACAGGAAGTCAGGCATCAGTAATCCCGTGACGCTAAGATATCTCAGGGTCAGTGACAGAGTTTGAAGTTTGACCAACCTTGGAAAGTGACAATGAATAATTTCTTGCGTTTGGAATTTATCATGACTTCTTCCTTTTTTTTTTCTGAAAGAGAAATTTATATGTATATGATTGGGAAGGCTGTTTTGGGTTTTCAGGGTTTTTTCTTGCCAGGATTTCTAAGTGGCCCTGACTGCCCTGTCCTCAAACTCACAGAAATCTGTCTGCCTCTACTTCCCGAGTGCTGGCATTAAGCCAGGTATCACCATGCTCAGAGGGGTGTGTGTGTGTGTGTGTGTGTGTGTGTGTGTACATGCTCGCGTGCATGTTTTAAAAAAAACTAGGGCCAACAGGCTGGCTCAGCCTGTAACAGCACTTGTCACTTGTCACACAAGTTTGAGGCCCTGAGTTTAATCCTTTGTACAAGCCTTAAAGACAGAGAAGAAACCCAACTGCACAGAGTTGTCATCCGACCTCCACATGTGTGCCTTCATGCCCACACACCACATAGACACTTAAAAACTGTACTCTAAATGCCCTGTACTTCGTGTTTAATAATGAAATAAGTGCTAAAGGAGCAAAGTGCTGGAAACAGCTGCGTGTGACCGCCCTGCCATTGACCACAAACAACTTCAGCATCTCCAACTAACACCCGGGGCTTATTTACTGTAAGAACCTTAGCCAAAACCTTCATCCTGCTCACTTTTCGTGGAGCTCCCCAATGAGAGTCAAACCTTCTGATGCCCAGTGTTCCCTTCACCGTGTGCTCATCTTGCTTCAGCTCTGGTTTCCTTAGTAGGTATTTTATATTTCCCATTATTTAGTCATGATTATTAATGAACTAATATTATGACCAGATAGCACTATATGGGGAAAGATGGTGGAACTGGAGTCCTAATTCAAAGAAAGGACTTCAGAGTAGGACGATGCTTGGGGCTGATTGGGCTTCCGAGTCTAGAAAAGCCAAAACCTTCCAATCAGAGTCAGAACCCATAGGTTATCTACATTTGGTATCACAGTGCAAAGGATCACACATGGGCATGACTCCCGAGTCACGTCCAAAGAAATTAAAAGACTCCTTTGGGTTAAGAGCACCAACTGCTCTTCCAGAGGACCCAGGTTCAATTCTCAGCACCCACATGGCGGGATACAACTCTCTGTAGCTCCAGTTCCAGGACACCTGACTTCCTCTTCTGACCTCTATAGGCACCAGGCTTGCACAAGTGGTGCACAGACATACAAAAGAACAAAACACCCATACACATAGAATATAATTTTAAAACGAATATATATATATATATATATATATATATATATATATATATATCTTCTGCATGTTCTAACTGCTTAAGTACTATCAAAACATAGTCACCTGGGACACGAGTACTTCAAAAAAGGTAGAACTGGTGCCCTGACAAAAGCCACTCCCACATTCCCGTCTCCACACAGGCCGTGAGTGGTTGGGCTTAGGAGCCCAGACACAGGTTCTCCATGGCCCCACCCCTTCAAAAATGATGGCTACCTTGAAACGCATGTCCTGGGCCAAGAGGAACTTCTGGGACCCTCTTGTGGTATTGATAATTCTTTTGACATTTAGAATCCTTCTCGCTCCAATCCTGCCTCCAGAGACACACAACGCCGAGAGACAGTGAAATCCTGGGCCACCAAGCTGATCTGAGCCGGCCGGGATTGCTCTGCCTAACTGAAAGCCATGAGGGGTTTGACACTTAATCTCAGTTCACCAGATGTGACCTCTGTGCTCCCATGGGACATGTGAGGAACTCCAGAGACCTCTACTGAACTGATTATGGTGGCATTGACTTGTCTGCCTTCTGTCCTGGGATAGGCAATCATTAAAGACAGGAAGAGGGTTTGACTCACTTTCCAGCATTAATGCAGAACCAGAGGACATCAAAGAATAAGAAACGAGTGACTAGTCACGGAACCTGAAGCCAGACACGTAGTTGACATACGTCTGGTTGAGTCACTGACTGCTTTGGTGACTTTGGATTGGTCACTTGCGTGTGTGTGTTTGGAGTCGCAGTGTTTATTTTTAGGCTGTGTTTCACAGAGTAGCCTGGGGTGGCCTGGAATTCACCATGGAAGCCCAGAGAGGTCTCAGATTCACTCTCCTCCCGCCTCTAGCCTCCCAAGTGCTGGGATGACAAGCATGTACCCCGACGCCTAGCTAGTGACTTGAGCATCCGATTTCTCACTTGTAAAACATTAGTAGTAACAGCCCTGCTTTATTGTAGTATTGTTGAGCATCGGCAGTTAAATGTATAAAAAAGTGTCGCAGTCAAAATGCTACATTCATGAGCTAGATATGGTGGTACACATGTTTGTGATTCCAGCCCTCAGGAGGCTCAGGCGGCATCCTCACGAATTCAAGGCCACTGTGGGCGCCAAAGAGAGATTCTGTGTCCAAGAAACAAACATGAATCATGCTCTTCATAGACTATTGTAATAGCATGTACACATCTTTACTCCTAGAACACCCAGCCTATTTTGGGTTCTTTGTTCTTGATGCCCACCAGACCCCTAGGATTAGCTAGTAGTTGAATCTTCATAATATTTGATGAGACACTGAAGTATTGTCTAGCAAAAGTGATCAATAAACATGGTCAAGCAATATAGCTCAAGGTGGCCACTGATTGGACAGACTGGAGAAGAAGTTCCCAATCACAGAACCTCTGCCGATGAGCTTCGGGGACTCTGTACTAAGATTCTGCATAGACCATCCGTCAGGATCAGGAGAGCTGCAGAGTTCAGCTTCAACCCAAACACAAACGAACATTTCCCCAGCCTCTCTTGGACCTAATGACGTGTTCTAGTTCTGTTTGGTGGAGCCCCCATGGTCAGAGGCAAATGTGAGACCCGGTCAAGAATTCTCAGGGAAGCCAGGCCCAGTGTCCTGCTTCCCTGGCTTAGTAGGGATCTTTCAGCTCCCCTTCAGAAGGGAGCAGTCTGCACTCTTTAGTAGCAGAGTCCACATATTTACAGCCCTGGGAACATCCGTGCTGGAGCAGCCCCAATCTTTGGAATGACTGTCCAGCTGACCATGTCATTATCACTTAACCGACGGGGGTTTCTCCTGAACTGTCCTTACTCCTACGAAGTGTTCACCCACGCTGAGGCGATCCCTGCTCCTCGGCATGAGAAGCATGACCTGGATGGATGTTAGCCTTCCGGTCGGCTCACCTTTCACCTGCTTCCTGCAGACTCTCAGTTCTGCACTCCCTGCTTTAATCCCAGGTCTACCCATTGCTTCTCTGTGGAGCCATGCCCCTTCCTGACACCTACATAGAAATTCTGCAGCCCTCCTAGGTTTTACTCGCTTTTCTGTGGTGAGGAGACACAGAACTTACTGTCCCTGCTCCCTAGCTTCCTTACACTGGCTCTGGGCTCACCTTTCCTTCTCTGTCAAGTGCTGATGACAGTCTATACCCCCATGCCCTGGCCTAACACCAAATCTGAGGTTTTTATCTCCTTGTTCTAACTTTTGGGAATCTTTCCTTTTAAGCCCTGTGACTCTGCCATGCGCAAACTGGGCATACCGTTTCCAAAACCCTCGTTACTCATCAAGGATGGGATTGTTCCCCAGCTCTTTGTGGTTCTGAGGCAAAGCCAATGTTCTGCTTTCCAAAATCATCAATGGACCTTCAGGGAGTTACCTGGTGTGAATGCAGAGCACACCTCTCCTCCCCTCAATTTACCTCTTCTGAGTTAGTTCACAGGCTCCAGTCACAGAGCTCTGGAAGTACAATTGAGTCTCTTTCCCACCTCTGCACCCATGGGCTACAGGCAGCACATTCTGTTAAATGGTTGGTAAGAGATGAAAACCTAGGCAAGAGAGATGGTT